TAGGGGTGCTGAGCCTGGGGGTGCTGAGCCTGGGGGTGCTACGCCTGGGGGTGCTGTGCCTGGGGGTGCTGAGCTTGGAGGTGCTCCGCCTGGAGGTTCTCCGGGTGCTTCGTCTCGTCAGGAGCCATTCTCTCCACAAGAGCTGCGCGAGTGGTTTGCCCGGCACTGGAGCCGTGCTGCTGGTGCTGGAGGTTCTTTGGCTACTGAGGGTGCTGCTGTCGTGGGTCCCGGAGGTGCTCGTACTGGGAGTACTGGAGCTGCTGGGCCTGCGGGTTCGACTGGAGCTGGTGCTGCTGAGGGTGTTGGCGCTGAGACTACCGCTGGCGGTCCTGCTGTAGGTGCTCCTGGTGCTGATGGAGGTTCTGGAGCTGCTGGAGGTGCTGCTGGAGCGGGTGCTCCTACTGGGGGTACTGGTGTTGTCCCTGCTTTGTCTGGCGTCGCCACGCGGCCTCGACTGTACTTCGTTCCACTCCTGCAGCAGGTTCTTGGTCTTCCGCCTTCTACTGGTCCTCCTCCTCCCTTAGAGTGTCCACAGTCTGTTCCGTCACAGTTACAGTTGCAGCCTACCTCCCCTTTGCCTGCTCCTTCTCCCTACAATGGTCCTACTGGAGGTCTTGCTGAGCGTCGTGAGCCTGCGTCTCGCCCTACGTCGCCTGTCCGTGCTGCTCGCGCTAGTGGTCGTGGTTCGCGTCAGCGTCCTCCTCCTGTCCCTGGCACGCACAGGATGTCTCTGCGTCCGTTCACTGCTCCTCTGCGTGCCCCTTTGCCTTCTCCTCCTGAGTCCTCTCTTCCTGCTCTTCCCGACCCGGAGTCGGACTCTCTTCATGCTGCCAGTCCTACTGTCACGCGTCTCCTGGCTAGTGTCGTCACTGACCCTTCTTTCGAGTCCACTGCTGCGTCTGCCCTAGTTGCTGAGCTCGTCGACTTTGCCGCTCGCTGTCGCCTAGACTACGCTGCTAGTCTTGTCGCTGGGTCTGAGTCTCTCTGTCCTCCGTCCGTCGGGGGTGAGTGTGCCCTTGGCACGGACGTCTTTGAGGACAGGCAGGAGGAGTTCCAGTGTCTGGCAGCTACTTCACCTCATCTCATGTCCGTACTGCTTACCCTTGAGGGAGACCCGGATGCACCAGACATCCCGACTCCGCGCTCCTACGCGGAGGCGATAGAGGGTCCCTACTCCTCTCAGTGGCAGGCAGCTATGGACACAGAGATGGCTTCCTGGAAGTCCACAGGCACCTACGTTGACGAGGTTCCCCCGCTTGGGGCGAACATCGTCAGTGGCATGTGGATCTTCAGGGTGAAGCGGCCGCCGGGCTCTCCGCCTGTCTTCAAGGCACGGTACGTGGCTCGTGGCTTCAGTCAGCGGCAGGGAGTTGACTACTTTCAGACCTTCTCTCCCACCCCGAGGATGACCACTCTTCGGGTACTACTGCACGTTGCTGCTCACCGTGACTACGAGCTGCAGTCTCTCGACTTCAGCACAGCTTTCTTGCAGGGCAGCCTGCACGAGGAGATCTGGCTGCGCCGCCCACCTGGCTTCACTAGGTCGTTTCCTCCTGGTACCCAGTGGAGTCTCCGGCGCCCAGTCTACGGTCTCCGCCAGGCCCCACGTGATTGGCACGACACACTGAGGACTATGCTTGCGGCTCTTGGGTTTGCTCCTTCTACTGCCGACCCGTCGCTGTTTCTGCGCACCGACACCTCTCTGCAGCCGTTCTACATCCTCGTGTACGTCGACGACTTGGTCTTTGCCACAGCTGACACTACTGGACTCGCCCACGTGAAGTCCGAGCTGCTGAAGAGACACACGTGCACAGACCTGGGTGAACTGCGCAGCTACCTTGGCTTGCAGATCACCCGGGACAGAGCACGGCGCACCATTACCCTGACTCAGTCACACATGGTGCAGCAGGTCCTTCAGCGCTTCGGCTTCACGTACTCCTCGCCTCAGGCCACTCCTCTGCCTACTCGCCACTCGCTATCAGCTCTGCCTTCGGATGAGTCCATAGAGTCGAGTGGTCCGTACCCAGAGCTTGTTGGCTGCCTCATGTACCTGATGACCTGCACACGACTTGACCTTGCATACCCTCTTAGCATTCTCGCACGCTATGTTGCTCCTGGGAGACACAGACCGGAGCACATGGCTGCAGCAAAGAGGGCGTTGCGCTACTTGTGCAGTACGTCGGGCATGGGGCTAGTGCTTGGAGGGCGCAGTCCAGTGGTCCTCACTGGGCACGCAGACACTTCTTGGGCTGACGACCAGGCTACGCAGCGGTCGTCACAGGGTTACACCTTCAGCCCTCGTTCCGGCTCTGTCTCGTGGCGGGCTACTCGCTCGTCTTCTGTTCTCGGCTCCAGATGTGAGGCTGAGATCTACGCCGGGGCCATGGCTGCACAGGAGCTTCGCTGGCTCACCTACCTTCTGACTGACCTCGGAGAGCCGCCTCGTTCTCCTCCAGTTCTGTACGTAGACAACAAGGCCATGCTGGCCTTGTGTCGAGAGCAGCGACTGGAGCACATAATAAAGCACATTGCTCTCCGCTACTTCCTTGCTCGTGAGCTACAGCAGCGTGGACAGTTGCGGCTTGCGTATGTGGCCTCTGAGGCCAACACTGCTGATGTCTTCACCAAGGCACTTGCGCCTTGTGATCATCAGCGCTTCTGCACTTAGTTGGGTGTTGTGTTTGTCTTACCTCACTTGCTCACCTCTTGACCTTGCTTGTACTGTCACATATATATATACCCGCTCTTGCTTGTCTAGCTTTATATATATTTGTACTCTTGCATGTGAACTGGCCTTGTGGCCTTTGACCTTGTGCTCGGACTGTGTGGTGACTTTGTGATCCACCCTGAGCTTGCTTTACTTTGCTTTGCTTGACTGGTCTTGTGACCTCTTGTTCTCCCCCACTTTGCCTATAGAGGTGTGTCAGAACATATAGCTTGTGCTTATTGTGTAGGCTATAGTGGGGTAGCCCATAAGGGGTACAACCCAATTATGGTTAGTACTTGTACTCAGTTCATTCATTCTCGTTCACATTTTCTCAGAGGACTTAGCGGAGAAAATGGATGAAGCGCGTGCAAGAGCACTTGGAGGACCACTTATTGGCCATAATGAAAAACGTGAACAATAAAAAAAAAAGAATCAGAATGAGGGTGACTACTAGCTTTGAAGCCCCACCTTGAGCTGAATCCACTAATCAGGTCACCCGGTTTTCATATCTGGATCTCCAGGCCACCCGCCAATTCCAGCGTCGACGGCTGGCTCCTGATTAACAGGGGATGCAGTCGTCTGGTATTGGTTCCTGCATTAGAGGAGGAACATGTTCGCCGATTGGTCGACCCATTTTTTGGTGTCAGAATACACCGTGTTGTTCATACGAATTCTGCGCCAAAGTATCAAAAGTTTGATCGCGAAGCACTCTGTAGAGAGTTCGCGTGCGACAGGCTCTGCGACGAGTTGATGACCGTCCCGTCGCAACCGGTCGTGCGACAAGAGGGCGTCGTCGGCCGTCCGGAGGGTAACCTCGCTTCTCGCGAGCGTTTCGCCAAGAACTGCCCTCGCCAAAGTTGGTGTTGCCTTTCGAGTTCGGCCTCTGCCCGAGCTGGATTTTTGGGTCAGGTGGGCGCAACAATTCGGCCCGAAAGCCTCATCGGAATTCTGTCGTCGGAACGGTTTTGCCAGTGTCGTCGAGGGGGGTTGTCGGAGCCGAGAATGACGAGGCGGGCGACTGACGCGCGTACGGGCCCGCCAGCCTGGCCCAGGGCTGGGCCGAGCGCACGACCGCCGCCCCGCAGCCCCGCTCCGAAAGTGAACAGTGGCCCACGTTACCGGGTGGGGTCGGCGAACTGGCGACAGCTCGCGCGTGGTCGTTACCGGTCGTGCGACAAGAGGGCGTCGTCGGCCGTCCGGAGGGTAACCTCGCTTCTTGCGAGCGTTTCGCCAAGAACTGCCCTCGCCAAAGTTGGTGTTGCCTTTCTAGTTCGGCCTCTGCCCGAGCTGGAATTTTGGGTCAGGTGGGCGCAACAATTCGGCCCGGAGAGCCGTATTCGACGGGGCCTTGCGCCCGTTTTCGTTGGCTAGACAGAACCAGAAAGACAGCCAGGCGTTTTCGGAAAGACAGGGACCGCGGAAAAAATCCTACATTATCCCCAAAAAAATCTGCTCGGAAGGGATGTGAACCGCATGCAACTGCCTGGTACCAAATGTGTGGGCACGGTTTCAGTTCAGTTCAGACCAGCTCCCCCCTCCCCCTTCCGTCCCGTGCCTGTCCTCCCAAAAGTCGGCTCGAACAGCAAAAACCAGAGTCGATTTCATCCATAGATACAGTACAGTAAACCAACAGGTTGTAGTAGCTCCGAGCTATCGTCGACTCAGCGCATTGGGAGACCAATATTCATCATATATTTGCGCTTTCCCATTAGCCGTCTTTAGCAGCAGCTACAGGCAGTCTATGGTTGTTGGGGGATCGGGTTTGACGGGAAGGTCCTGCGACCTCGTTGCTCTACTCTACTCTGAGCGTTCACGTCGACGAAACGCGCTTATTAAAGCAACGATGAGGTCGCCACGAAACCCTCCAATATCTCCACTCCGAGTTCCTGAGTCCGAGTGGCGTCTCATGATATTATCATATCGTGAGACAATGTCACAGAGGCGCTCAGTCCTCTCACGCACCTCGGAGTCGCTAGTATTGCGGCAAGTCCGTCGCTCCTCGCCGTCTGTTCAGATTGCTACTAGCAGCAGACGGGGCCGCAGTCGCGCTATAGAAACGGCTCTCACTCGCTAGTAGTACGCCGGTTCTTCATTTTCGGTCCAGTGTGAATTCGTAGTAAGAAGGTGCCGACTTCCACAAGGTTGATTTATTTCGTGCTCTCTGACGACGATCTCAGCTCCTTTTTGGAGCGTCGAGATGAGTCGCACGATCGCCTGCTCTCGCGCAGCGACGTGGGCGACCGGCGTGCGACGGAACATGTCGCGTAGCGATCCTGCGAAATGGTCGGCGACGATGGTGTTGAGTTGGCTGGCCGTCGTCTGCTTGGTGGCATTCGTCGCAGGAGGACTCCCGACGTCGCAGGGTACGGGATTGGGGGGGCTATCAAACTACTGACACGGCTTGTGCTAAGAACATTTATTATTCCTAGTTCAAACGCAACAGACGTAGAATACCGTATGCAATTTCACATGTCCCAAAACTGTCTTCGTACTCTGTTTTCTTGTACGAAAATTGAAACGCGTGTTGATCCAGAGGTAAGATGTTCGATTCACCCCTGCTCCCCCTCCCTCACTCCCACCTCCCTCTCCACAGCTACGCGCGCGAAAGCCGCGGCGCCCCTGCGCAGGCAGTACTTAAAGCACCTGGCGGCGGTGCCACCGGTGCTCAACTACCGCTCCCCCTCACTCTCCCCACCTTCCCCACCCCCACAGCTACGCGCGCGAAAGCCGCGGCGCCCCTGCGCAAGCAGTACATAGTGCACCTGGCGGCGGTGCCGCCGGTGCTCAACTACCGGGGGGGCGTTGCGGGGCTGGCGGCGACCGCGCCGGAGCTAGACGACAACGACCCCGAGAGCAGCCCCACCGACGCGGACGACGACGATGATAGCGCTCCGGTTGTTACTCCAGGTGGCGGTTCAGGTGGCGGTTCAGGTGGCGGTTCAGGTGGCGGTTCAGGTGGCGGTTCAGGTGGCGGTTCGGCTGGCGGTTCAACTGACGATTCTATAACTGGCGACAGCAACGCCGCTAGTACAAATGTCACGCTTGCCGCCGTTAGTACTAGCCCATCCGCTGTGCCCCCTCGCTTCGGTACAATCACGAGATCGAGTTTCGAGGCTCCTTGGAAAGTGATACGGCGGCTTGCGGATCGAATCAAGCGGCGCGCGGACGTGCGGCGGGCGAACGTGAAATCCTTCGTCAACTTTCTGCGGGATTCGCAGCGGCAGTTTCTGCGAAGGAACAACATTTCGCCGTCGCAGCTGTTCCAGAGCTACACGTACACGGTTAACGGGTTCGCTGTATCGCTGACGGCAGCGGAAGCGAAACGGCTGAAGCACCATCCTGCTGTGGCATGGATTGAAGAAGACAAACCGGTGAGTGGAGAAGAGAGAACAGTGAGTGAAGCGATTAGCTAGGAGTAGTAGCTGAGGAAAGGAGGGGAAAGTAGGGATGAAGGGAAGAGAGCGGGGGAGAGGGGGGAGCGAAGCCTGTGGGGGAAGAGAGCAAGAAGGGGGAGGGTTAGAGTGGAGAGGGGACTGGATGAGGATAAGAAAAATGGAGAGAAAATATATTAGCTCACTGCTCACTGCTCTTATAGCTGCCGTGTATTCTCTCCTTACTGCAAGCATACTTCTTTTGCATATCGTTTATGTCGTCTCACTATATTGCTCTGTGTAGTTTCCAATACTAAGGGCGCTTCACCTGTCGGTTCGAACAACACACTCGTTCGAACAGGCGAAACGTTACTCGTTTCGCCTATGTTCGTAGTGGTTTTCGTGACGTCGCGAAGCACAATTTCGCCAATTTGAACAGAGCTGTCACCTCAAGCACGATTTTCATCATCCCGCACGTTCGAACACGTTTGTTCGAACAGGTTGGGATAGGTGACACACAATTCCGCACAAACGACTGATATGATTGGTCCACAGTCTTCCGGGTCGCCCATGAACGAATGCGACCCGGCCAGACGTCGCCAATGTTTGGGACCCAATGTTTGGCGACGTCGCTCTTTTGTGGGCGACGTCGCTGTGTTCGAACAGACCGCGTGTGCGAATAGCGATGGCGTCACCTGTGATGGCCTGTGTCACATTCGCTCATTGTACGTATTTGTGTTCGAACTCATTTGGGATACTGTTCGTACAGTCAAACTGATACGTCGGTTCGGATTTTGGCCTTCCGCCCCTCAGGTGAAGCGCCCTAAATCTTAATTTTGTTTTTTTGGGGCAGGTTCGCGCGCTCACTGTAGACTCGACGACTTTCTTGAAGTTGCCGACCAGCCTGTGGGCTTCAAACGGGGGGCAGAGCCGTGCGGGCGAAGGTGTGATTATAGGCGTGGTGGATTCGGGAATATGGCTGGAACACCCTTCTTTTGCAAACACGGTAAGCAGTATATTCCCTTCCCAGCCTGCAGACCCCTACGGCCCAGTTCCGGACTGGTGGTTTCTACGGGTGTGCGGCAACGGCAGATTTCCCATCCTCGCTCTGCAATAGCAAGCTTTTTGGCGCCAAATCAATCAACCCCCAATATCCCGCCCTTCCCCTTGCCATTCTCCCTCACACCCCTTTCCCTTTCCCGTCCCCTTTCCCTTTCCCGTCCCCTTTCCCTTTCCCGTCCCCTTTCCCTTCCCTGTCCCCTTTCCCTTCTCTCACCCCTTTCTCCATCTTCGTTTCCCCTTGTTCTTCCCCAGCCTGCAGACCCCTACGGTCCGGTCCCGGACCGCTGGTTCGGCGGGTGTGAAGCAACGGCGGACTTCCCAGCCTCGCTCTGCAACGGCAAGCTCATTGGTGCAAAGTTCTTCAACAGCGGGTTCCTCAATGCCGGGCAGGATGTGGACCCGGACGACTTTTCGTCTGCCCGGGATGGAGACGGGCACGGGACGTGGTGTGCGGGGTGAGTGGTGTGCGGGGTGAGTGTGCTTATCATCCTATACCCTCATTCAGTTTATCCTCCTTTTCCACAAATACACTCAGTCCCTCTATTCTCTATATTCACTCATTTTGAGGCGCCTCAAAACTGTTTATTACACGCCCCATCCTCCTATACTCACATACAGTTTATCCTCCTTTTCTGCAAGTACACTCAGTCATTCAGTTTATACTCCTATGCTCTTTCTTCTTGCCTTTCTCCCCCTAGCATCATCAGTGCGGCAGCGAGCAACACGAACGTGAGTGTGGTGCTTCAATCTACCGTCTCTCATCTCCCTCCACCCATCCCAACCCACCAGTGCAGCCGCGGGCAAAGCGAACGTGGGTGTGGCACCGCGAGTGGCGTGGCACCTCGTGCGCGTGCATTTCTGTGGCGCTTTTTGAGGCGCTTTTTGAGGCGCTTTTTGAGGCGCTTTTTGAGGCGCTTTTTGAGGCGCTTTCTGTGGCGCTTTTTAAGGCGCTTTTTGAGGCGCTTTTTGAGGCGCTTTTTGAGGCGCCTCAAAAATCGTCTCAGTTCACGTCACGCGGATTTTATGCGAGCGGCGTGGCACCTCGTGGGCGTGCATTGCCATGTTACAATACAAGGCGCTCTCAGTCTCACTCCCACCTTCAACCCCCCCACCCCCACCTTTTCCTTCTAACCAGAGCGGCAGCTGGCAATGCGAACGTTAGCGTGGAGATGGGCGGCCGCAGCTTCTTTCCCTGCCCTTCACCTACCTTCTCATCCCTCTCCACCCCTCCCAACCCACCAGAGCGGCAGCGGGCAATGCGAACGTTAGCGTGGAGATGGGCAGCCGCAACTTTGGATTCGCGAGCGGCGTGGCGCCGCGGGCGCGCATCGCCATGTACAAGGCGCTGTGGTGGGTGAAGGACTTCGGCGCAGCGGCCGGCACCAACTCCCACCTTCGAGCCGCCGTTGATGCCGCTGTGGCGGACGGTGTGGATGTGCTCTCGCTTTCTTTGGGGGATTCGGTGCGCGAGTATTTCTCACACATTCACTACATGAATGCGGCTAAGGTGAGGCGGCTTTCTGCAGGCTGGTGTGTTTGCGGTTCACAAGGCATGAGGCGATTCTTGAGGCGATTTTTTGGGCGCCTCAAAAACCTGCCCTCTCCTTAACCTCCCCGCATCCCCCATGATTTCTGCAACGAGGCAACGAGGCGCATCCCTCTCCCATGTCGAATCCCCTTCTTACCCCTTCCCACCCCACCCCACCCCACCCCACTCCACCCCTGGCAATGCTGGCAGGCGGGTGTGTTTGTGGCACTGGTAGCAGGCAACTCGGGGCCTCCCTCTCCTACGCATGATGTGGGGACGCTCGAAAACGTTGCTCCGTGGTACCTGACGGTGGGAGCAACGTAAGTTGAGAGGAAACTGTTGTTGAGAAAGTGACAGACACACAGTGCGGCGCAATGTAAGGTGCGAGAGATTTCTTTGTTGAACGGAAGAGGTGTGCTGATGAAGACGCTTCGTGTGACGGGGTAACGGTGTGCTGTAAGGAAACTACTTCTCCATGGCTTGGGGTATGGGATGGATGGAGCTTATGGGAGTGAGTGAGTTGCACCTCTTAAAAGCGACTCAGAACAGAACCCCTCTATATCCCCCTCGCTCCCCTCCCTCAAGGAATCCCTCTCTCCCTTACCACAGCACCATTGGTCGACACGGTGTGGCAAAGCTGATCCTGGGGCACGGTGTGGCAAAGCTGATCCTGGGGTACGGTGTGGAGTCTACTTTTAAGCTCACTCTACTTTTTGATCCTTAAAAGTAGGCATGGTGTGGCTCTTAGGGGAGTGAGCGAGCTTTGGAGGCACCGAGTGGAGGAGGAGCCATGCAGGACAGGAAGGCACACAGCCACTTACTCCCTTCCCTTCCCTCATCCCGCTCCCTCCCTCCCTCTTCTCCCTTCCCATCTTCCGCTCCTCCCCTGCCCTCTCAAGATTTTTTAGAATTCTCAAGATTGCAGAGTATTTTTTAGAATTCTCAAGATTTTGCAGAGTATTTTTGAGAATTCTCAAGATGTTGCAGAGTATTTTTGAGAATTCTCAAGATGTTGCAGAGTATTTTTTAGAATTCTCAAGATGTTGCAGAGTATTTTTGAGAATTCTCAAAAATACTCCGCTCCTCCCCTCTCCTCTCGCAGCACCATTGGTCGGCAGTACCTTGCAAAGCTGATCCTGGGGAATGGGGAGGAGGTGACGGGAGTGAGCTTCGGAGGCACCGCCGCCCAGACGGTCAATAAAGTGCTCCTGCCGGCTTCCGCTGCTGTCCGAGCAGGCGCGTCTGCTGCTGATGTGAGTCACACGCATTTATCACAAGGTGACTTTGAGTCGAGTCACAGGTCAATAAAGTCGAATCCCCATCAGCACATTCCAAGCATCCTCTCTTTTGCCCTCCACCTGTTTGCATCGTTCCCCCTCTGATGATCCCCCAGGCTGATGTGTGTGACTTTACTGCCATTGACCAAAGCCAATTGGCTGGGAAAATGATCGTGTGCACATAACAACCCTCCTCTCTCTCTCCTTTGCCCTGCGCTGCGCCTCTCTCCTTCACCCTTTTTATGATGCCAGGCTGATGTGTGTGACGACACTGCCATCGACCCAAGCAAATTGGCTGGGAAAATTATCGTCTGCACTTTGGAGCCATCTGTAGGAGTCCCCATTACCTTCGTTACTGCTTCCAAGGCATCAGCGCTTGTCCTCCTTAGTGGCTCTCCCAATACAGACAACATGGACACGATTTCTTTCACCAGCCTGCCCGTCCTGTTCCTCACCAATGCCCAGGGCGGGCAGGTGAACAATTACCTGGAGCAGGCAGCCAATCCCGTGGCGACACTTACCGAAGTCATTACCACAAATTCCTCCAACGCGCCCCAAATGACTAAGTTCTCTTCCACCGGACCAACCGTAAACCCATCCTGGTTTCCAGTCCCTTCCTCCTTCGCAACCAACGACATCTTAAAGCCGGACATCGTAGGTCCGGGGTTCCAGCTCTGGTCGGCGTACCGAGGCAAGAGCGCAGCTTCTGCAGCCACCGAACCTCCCATGTTTGAGTGCATTTCGGGTACCTCCATGGCTACACCACATCTCGCCGGAATCGCGGCGCTAGTAATCCAGAAGAATCCAGGCTGGACGCCCGCCCAGGTCATGTCTGCAATGATGACTACAGCATCTACAGTAAATAATGCCGGCCAGCCAATCAAACGCGCGAATGGGGACGTGGCTACTCCGTGGGATTACGGCTCGGGGCAGGTCGACCCGTCGAGAATTACAGGCCCCGGATTAACTCTCACGTCTGGGTTTAACGATTATGTGAATTTTCTCGCGAGCCGGAATCTCCAGCAGACCAAGCATGCGTTTCCGGGGCTGAAGGGGATTCGAGCGCTGGAGCCGTGGAATCTCAACCGTCCAACGATCTCGATCTCACGGCTGTCGGTCCGCGGAAAGACGATTGTGCGCACGGTTCGGAACGTGTTTGACCAGCCGTCGACGTACACTGTGCAGGTTCGGGTGCCGACGAACGTGCAGGTTCGGGTGTCGCCGAGCCGGTTTACCGTTGGTCCGGGAAAGGTGCAGCGCATCACGATGGTTTTCAAGGCAAGGAAGCTTGTGAGGTCGTTTCTGTTTGGGTCGGTTAGATTGGTGGATAAGCATGGGCATGTAGTTAATATGCCAATTGTACTGCATACGGTGTAATTGAGTGCAATGCATTGTTGTTGGGTAACAAAAGAGAAGTAATGGTAGGCTGGCAGCCTTGTTGGGTGGTGGAAGGGGCATGCTGCATGTGGTAGACATTCCAGTGCAATGTGCTGGAATGGAGCTGCACGAATGGTGAAGGTAAAACCCCGAGGTCCATAGCTTCCAAAAGTAGGAAGGTTGGTTGGGGCAGGAGGGATTGGCCTGCGAAACAGGGTGGCATTGAAATAGGTTGCAGTGGGTCGCTGAATAAAATACTTTCGCCAGAGTTGCCAAATCTAGGATGCAACTGAGGAACTATTCCGTGCCTCTCTTCGTAACTGAAAGACCGGATTTAGGGTGACAAATAATCTTGAGAAACGAAGGCACAGTGATGGTTTGAGAAGAAGTTAGCTATCAACTTTGTGACACCTGACCAAAGAAAGGAAGGTTGAGGCATTTGGGTGAGCCTTGAGACTTCGGTGGGAACGTGGGAGGGAAGAGTGCCAGGAGGGCTTAGGGCATGTTCCTACGGCCCCTTATCAGGCCAACCTCTTATCAAGCTCACGTCAAAACACACTGAAAATTCCCTAAACCCGAAAACCCTCGCTACTTTTACCAGGCAAGGCTGACAAGAGGTTTGCCTGATAAGAGCGTAGGAACATGCCCCTATTTTTGACTTATTTTCACCATGAGCTTATTTTTCATAAGTACTTATCAGAGCGAGGTCATAGGCTCACGGTGAACGGTTACCTGCCTGTGCTGGATGCCTTTGGTGGGGTTGATGCATGGGGTTGATGCATAGGGTTGTTGCATGGGGTTGATGCATGGGGTTGTTGCATGGGGTTGATGCATAGGGTTGATGCATATAGTTGATGCATGGGATTGATGCATAGGGTTGATGCATGGGGTGGGGTTGATGCACGTGGTTGATGCATGGGGTTGATGCATGGGGTTGATTCATGGGGTTGATGCATTGGGTTGATGCATGGGGTTGATGCATGGGGTTGATGCACGGGGTTAATGCATGGAATTGATTCATGGGGTTGATGCATGGGGATGATGCATGGGGTTGATGCATGGGGTTGATGCATGGGGTTGATGCATGGGGTTGATGCATGGGGATGATTCATGGGGTTGATGCATGGGGTTGATGCATGGGGTTGATGCATGGGGTTGATGCAAGGGGTTGATGCATGGGGTTGATGCATAGGGTTGCATGGGCTTATAAGCTGGGGAGACGAGTGACCATCTGGCATGTGCTTCTCATCCCATCATATTGCTCACTCATTCTGCATGCGCTTCTTCTTCATCCCATCATGCTGCTCTCTCATTCTGCATGTGCTTCTTCTTCGTCCCATCATGCTGCTCACTCATTCTGCATGCGCTTCTTCTTCGTCCCATCATGCTGCTCACTCATTCTGCATGCGCTTCTTCTTCGTCCCATCATGCTGCTCACTCATTCTGCATGCGCTTCTTCTTCGTCCCATCATGCTGCTCACTCATTCTGCATGCGCTTCTTCTTCGTCCCATCATGCTGCTCACTCATTCAGCATGCGCTTCTTCTTCATCCCATCATGCTGCTCACTCATTCTGGATGCGCTTCTTCTTCGTCCGATCATGCTGCTCACTCATTCTGCATGCGCTTCTTCTTCATCCCATCATGCTGCTCACTCATTCTGTATGCGCTTCTTCTTCATCCCATCATGCTGCTCACTCATTCTGCATGAGCTTCTTCTTCATCCCATCATGCTGCACGCACGACATGATCTACATGGTGTGGTTGCAGGAGGATCTAGTGGAGGGGGGTCATGGCCTCATGGTTGACGGCTATCTGCGACGGTCCTTGTGATCCATCACATAAAATCATCACCTGTGTGCTGGACGCCATGGCAGGACGCCCTGGGTGCTAGGCTGGAAATTTGTTCGAATCACAGGTGATGGGTCGATGTGATGATGTGATGGTTCGACGTGATGCTGTGATCGTGATGCGACACGTTGAACCATGTAAGTGAATGTGTCCACAGCGCAGTGAGCCACACTAAGTCTACAGCAACCGAGGGCCTACCTCAACAAGCCCCAACTGCACACAGAACCTGTGGTGGTCACCAGGCGCGAAGGCCTTGGTGAAGACGTCGGTAGTGCTGGCCTCTAAGGCCACAAAGTCCAAGTGTGCCTGGCCACGTCGCTGCAACTCTTGCAGGAGGAAGTACCTAACGTCATTATGCTTCACTCTGCTCTCCAGTCGAGGCTTTCGACAAAGGAGGATCATGGCCTTGTTGTCAGCGTACAAGGTCGGTGCAGAGCGAGGCCCCTCACCAAGGTCGGCGAGCAAGAAGGTCAACCAGTGAAGCTCCTGTGCCGCCATGGCACCAGCGTAGATCTCTGCCTCTGCACTAGACAAAGCCATAAACAACAATCGTGTGGACCTCCACAACACAGCAGCACTACCTAGACTAAAGCAGTAACCCTGAGTCGAGCGCTGAAACTCCACGTCGTCAGCGTAGGAAGAGTCACAGTGACCGGTCAACACAACTGGATGTGTCCCTCCAACCACAAGCCCGATGCCTGAAGTAGTTGCCAGATACTTTGCCACCCTCACAGCAGCTGTCCAATGAACAGGTTGGTGTCTCCTAGTCGCAACAAAGCCAGAGAGTACAAGTCATCAGGTACATGAGGCAGCCCACAAGCTCTGCATAGGGACCACTAGACTCAAAGGGCTCTTCGGGATAAGGGCCAGTGAGTCGGTGGTCAACAGCAAGAGGAGTGGGCTATGTGGTGGAGAACTGAAACCCGAACCATCGAAGGACCTGCTGCACCATGTCTGACTGAGTCAGTGTGATGGCGCGAGCGACTCTGTCCGTGCAGGCCAAGGTAGCGCTGCGGTTCACCGAGGTCAGTGCACGTGTGTCTCTTATGCAGTTCGGACTTCACCTCAGCCAGAGCTACCCTGTCTGCTGTAGCAAAGACCAAGTCGTTGACATAAACTAGTATAAAGAAAAGAGTGGAATCACCGCGAAAAAACAGCGACGGGTCGGCAGAGGAAGGACGAAACCCAAGGCCACGAAGCATGGAGCAAAGAGTGTCGTGCCACTCACGGGGCGACTGACGGAGACCGTAGACTGGCCGTCTTAGGCTCCACTGGGTCCCAGGTGGGAAGGTGTAAGTGAAGCCAGGCGGACGGCGCAGCTAGATCTCCTAGTGTAGGCGGTCCTGAAGAAACGCAGTGGAGAAGTCGAGGGAGTGCAACTCGTAGTCTCGCTGTGCTACTACGTGCAATAACACCCGAAGTGTAGTCATCTTCAGGGTTGGGGCGAAGGTCTGGAAGAAGTTCACTCCCTCATGCTGACTGAAACCCCTAGCCATGTAGCGCGCATTGAACACAGGCGGTGACCCAGGCGGCCGCGTCACCTTGAAGAGCCACATGCCATAGACAACGTTCGCCCTGGAAGGGAAAACTGCGTCAACGTAAGTGCCCGTGGATCTCCAAGACGCTAAATCTGCATCCATAGCCGCTTTCCACTGAGATTCCCACTCCCTTGACGCTGCCTCACGGTACATGCAAGGTGTCGGTATGTCAATGGTGTCGTGGTCTCCCTCAAGGGAAAGCAGCATGGCCCAGAGTGAGGGGGAAGTGGCTGCTAAGAACTCTAGCTCAAACTGCCTGTCCCCTAGGACGTCACAGCCAAGGGCAGACTCACCCTCGACGGACAGTGGACGGGGAGGTGGAGAAGCCACCACGCGCGTGGCGTAGTCAAGACGGCGGGTGGAAGCTAAGTCAGCGACATCGGCAGTAAGAGCCGAGACAGACGATGGAGAGGCACGAGGGTCAGTGACAAGAGAGGCGAGAATACGAGAGACAATAGGGCGAGCAGCATGGTAGTAGTGAGTGATAGGGTGAGAGGAACGGTGAGAGACGACCCAGGAGGTGAGGGGAGAACAGACACAGGCGGAGAACGATGAGGAGGAGAACGAAACAAGACAGTGTGGAGGTTGGCAAGAGGAGACGAGGGCCGAGCACGTGGAGGACAACGACTGGTCCAGTCATGCCGGACAACAAGAGGAGATGACTGTGATTGAGGAGGAGAGAAAACAGCAGGAGCTGAGTCTGGAGGAGGAAACGTAGAGCCGTACGCGGTAGGAGAATGTGCGTGTACAAGAGGAGAGGAAGGAGGACCAAGGGCCCAAAGGCCACTCACTAGAGGGAACAGCTGCTGCAAAAGTAGCGGCGGCTGCTGCTGTTGCTACTGCTGCTGGTCCAACTGCTGGAACTCCTGCCTCTCCTGCTCTAACTGCTCCTGCTCCTCGCGCTCAGGCCAGCGAAGGGCCTGGAAATGGGTGTCGTAGCGATGGGGAGGAGCAGTGGGCGCCGTAGTAGTCATGCCTCCAGCTCCTATCTCCTCAGTACCAGCTCCTACAGCGCCAGCACCTCTAGCTATAGCACCCCAGAACTGGCACCACCAGCGCCAGTACCTTCAGCTCCAATACCCCCGGAGATAGTACCACCAGCGTCAGCACCTCCAGCTCTAGCACCCCAAGAACTAGCACCTCCAGTGCCAGTTCCTCCAGTTCCAGCACCCCCAGAACTAGTGCCATGAGCGCCAGTACCTCCAGCTCCAGCACCTCTCGAACGAGCGCCCCCAAACTGAGCACCTCCAGTGCCTGCACCTCCAGCTCCAACACCACCTGAGTCCACAGTAACCAATCGCGGAAGTGTCGAAGGCTGCTGAGGGGACTGTGAGGAGGACTGCAGGGAGGGAGACGCTACCTGACGCACGACCGAGGGTAGAGGGGTTGCGGGAGACACACATGACAGGGTAGGACCGGGGGGAGGGTGGGGGTTCCGGAGGAGCCGGAGCATGGGGAGGAGAGGGTGCGAGGAAGAGGGGGGGAGGGGGAACCGGGAGACCCCGATAGGGGTACCGGGTATAGTAGGACGCGGACTCGTCAAAACGGACGTCACGAGAGTCGAGAAACTGGTGGAGGGGCGGATGGTAAAAGGCGTAGTCGGGAGAACCCACCGGGAAACCAGGGAAGACACAGGGGATGGCGCGAGCCGAGAGCTTGTCCGCAGAGGTATCGCGGACAAGCGCAAGGCAGCACCAGACACAAAAAGCCGACCCAGCACCAGAGGACCCATCCCAAAGACTGGTCGGTGAAACCTCTGGCGGCGAGACACGCGGCTGGAGGTTTAGCTGGTGCGCGGCGTAGCGCAGCGCGTAGGGCCACAGAAAATGGGGCGCACGGGCATGGATCATGGACGTGCGGGCGATGTCCATAACCAAGCCAATGTGGCGCTCATCAACCCCATTCTGCTGTGGGGACTTCGGCAGGGTCCAGGACTGTCTGATGCCTTGCTCGCCGCAGAACTCGGCAAGGACGCCAGAGCAGAACTCACCCCCACGGTCGGAGTGGAGACAACTGATACGACTACGGCGCGGGCTAGGCGCTGAGCTTTGCTTTGTTGCTTCTCTTGACTGGTCTTGTGACCATCTGTGGTTTTTCTCTCTCTTGATATCCCTCACTTAGCCTATGGGGGTGTGTCAAAATATATTTGTATTTTTGCTAGGTTTGTTAGGTTTGTTAGGCTGAAGTGGGGTGCATAGTATAGAATACAACACTTCTAGGGTTTCCTACTTGTACCTATCTTCTGCTAGTCAAACTCATTCCGCCGTTCCTAGTTTCTAACAGGCGAACGCGAAGCCGCACGTGAGTGTGGGCGGAAGCGTCGGCGCGAAGGCGGCAAGACAAACGCGATGGCGGCAAGACAAACGCGATGGCGACAAGACAAACGCAATGGCGCGAAGGCGGCAGGGCGAACGCGATGGCACGAAGGCGGCTGGGCGAACGCGATGGTGCGAATGCAGCTGGGTGACCGCAAGATTCGAATTATAAAGAAACCCTCAGATTGCGATGGCCTCCTAGCGTTGTTACGTGTGATATGGCGTCCGCTTTTCCACCTTGGCCTCACGCAAGGCCCGCTTGTAATTTCGTTTTGTCACCGAACACCACACTCCATTTTCGAGCAATGTCGCCTTTCCAGACTCCCTTCAAAGCGTAGGTACCTCTAGTCTTATGAGCTTCTCGCGAGCGTGCAGTGCGGTACATCTGCTAGTTGGCGTGCGTAGCGTGTCTATACTTGGTTCTTAGAAACCCGGGAAAATTCTGATGCGTTTTTTGGACAGGTTTCTTTGTCTGGTACTCATGTTTGTGGAAGTTGGTGTTGCGCGACATTGGCCAAAGTGAGTTTTCATCGTTGCGACATTGTTTGCGTCTGGCTCGCATTCACGATCAGGTTTGGGTGCATACCCGTTGACTCCCTTGGCAACTGGGTTACACCCAACCAACCTTAGGAAGGAGGAACCAATTTGCCCTTTCTTGCCTCATTGGGAAAAAAAACCTCTCTATTTGCTGTGGTGGTAACATTCTGCTCCCGGCGGGGCTTGAACCCGCGACCTTCGGCTCATAAGACCAACGCTCTAACCAACTGAGCTACGGGGGCACGACATCTCAAAGCTCTTAATTATTATAACTATTAAAGGTTAAGTAAAACTGGGTTTCACCTGCTTCTGTTTCGTGTTTTTAAATCGTTTTCCCGCCATCCACGCTCTGAGCTTCACCACCACAGCCCACGCGCTCAGCGTCACTATCACCGCCTACTCTCCAGCCTCACGTTCCCTTTTGAATCCGCTTTCTCTGCCGCCCTCGCGTTCCCGGCGTCTAACGCCGACTACCGGGCCGATCGGGCTTCTTTTCGTGCTTGTATCGCGGCACGCCATGTCGTGGCGGGGATATCAGAACAGCGTGAATGGCAGCGGGAGCGGCGGCGGCGGCGGATGGAACGGATCGGCTATTCCTCCACCTTCGTTTAATCCGTCCGCGCCTCCGGCTAATACATCTGCGCCGGTGTGCTATAGCTTCCTCTCCCCCGCCGGATGCCGATTCGGCCACCGCTGCCGTTTCTCCCACTCCGCGCCTCCCCAATCCCTCCCCGCATTTCCGCCTACCCACTCCGCGTTCCCCCCTTCTCACTCCGCGCCTCCCCAATGCACCTCCGCGTTTCCCCCAACCCACTCCGCGCTTCCCCACTCCCTCTCCGCTTTCCCCCCTTCTCACTCCGCGCTTCCCCAACCCCCTTTCGCGTTTCTCCCTAACCACTCCGCGCTTCCCCAATCCACATCCGCGTTTCCCCCTTCTCACTCCGCGCCCCTCCCCTCCCCATTTCTCGGTATCTCATCTGCGAATTCGCTCTCGAATTCCTTCCAGCAGCTTTCTATGAACCGTCAAGGAAATTCCCAAGGTGTGGGGTTGTCCCAGCCTCCGGTTTCAACTCCAGGCCTAGCCGCTAGGTTCGACAGCGGAGCAGGAGGGGGAGGAAGGGGCGGAGGAGGGGGGGGAAGTGGAAGACGGGACGGAAGGGGAGGAGGGCAAAGCGGACAGCGTGTATGGAGAGAAAGAGAAGCAGGGGGGAGGTGGGGAGGAGGACGAGGGGGAGAAAGAGGGAGAGGAGGGTGGGGGGGAGGAGGGGGAGGAAGAGAGGGAGGAAGAGAAGGGACTCAAGGCGGTTGGGGTTCTGGCAGGGGCAGGGGAGAAGGGGAAGGGGAGCACGGGAGATGGAGGGGGGAGGGTGGGAGAGGAAAGTGGGGAGGTGGGATTGGGAGCGGAGGGGAGGAGAAGAGGCAGTGGATCAGGTGCAGGGGGGGTGAGTCAGGGGCGGAGAAGGGAAAAGCGTGTGAAACAGGGGGGAGTGCAGGCAGGCATACAGGCAGTGCCGCAGGGGCACAGGCAGACGCACATGCAGGCGTGCATGCAGAGAGAAACGCAGACGCTCATGCAGGCGCACATGGTTACACACATGCTGACACGCAAGCTGGCACACATACGAACACACATAGGGGGGCGCATAGAGAGGGGCAAGCAGGTGCAGGGGGCGCGTGTGTGAGAGTGAGTGTGATGAGCTACAATGTGTTGGCGTCCTGCCATGCTGCCAAGTTCGCCCGTGAGCTCTATCCTGGAGTGCCCAAAGGCGTGCTGCATTGGAGCCAGAGGAGGCACGGCATCGTGAAGGAGATCAAGCAGCACTCGCCTGATCTCATATGCCTGCAGGTAGGGTTCAGGGTTCAATGGTTTTGAACTGGACTGTATGAACGCTTTTGAGAATTCCACAAAACTAACGCTCTATATACACGCTGATGGGTTCGGGGGGGGGGGGGGGGGGGGGGGTGACGATGCGCATTAGAGAATTTCCAAGGAGAATCCAGGGGCATGTTGATTAATCTCTTTAAGATGCACTTTGGCTGTCCATGCCGTGTTTCTTGCGTTGCATAGCAGGAGGTGGACAACCATGCGGATCTATGTATGTGGAGTGAGCGATGAACAAGCTACTTGTGAGGAGTAAACTGTTTTTATCAAAAGTGGCTCCTTTTGTTTGTTGTTGCATTGTAGGAGGTGGACAACCATGCAGATCTATGTGGAGCACTTAACAAGCTGGGCTATGACAGCATCTTCCAGGTGCGCTGATAAGATTCGATTTGATTTGGTTTGAGCCGACTCAAAAAGCAAGCTGGGCTACGTTGGCATCTTCCGGTTGTGCTGATTATCTTTGATGTGATTCATTTGATCTGATTCTATTCTATTTATTTTAGTCAGGCAAGCTGTTTGCATGTACGCGTGCGTTCCCATGCGCGTGTATGTGCCAATGCATGTGTATCTCACTTATATTCCCTTTTTGATTGTTTTCCTTCCAGTGTCGCACGGGAGGCAACAAGGACGGCTGCGCTAATTTCTGGAATACCAAGAGGTGAGCCATGTGGTTTTCTGATGCACGTGTTGTATGTATGTTCATATTTAGGATGCGTTGTGTGTCCCTTTCCTGGTGTGTCCCACCCCACGTGGGTCCCATCCCACGTGTGTCCCATGCCAGGTGTGTCCCACCCCACGTGTGTCCCATGCCAGGTGGGTCCCACCCCACGTGTGTCCCATGCCAGGTGTGTCCCACCCCACGTGTGTCCCATGCCAGGTGTGTCCCACCCCACGTGTGTTCCATGCCAGGTGTGTCCCACCCCACGTGTGTTCCATGCCAGGTGTGTCCCACCCCACGTGTGTCCCATGCCAGGTGTGTCCCACCCCACGTGTGTCCCATCCCCTTCATCTGTGTCCTCTCCCTTCATACTGCAGGTGGTAGTGTGTTGATTTTCAATCTATTGACTTTGCTTTGGTGGGAATCATTGAGGTGGATAAAAAAAATCTTCACCGATTCTTTCCTTGTCCCTTCCGATTCTTCTTCTTTCCTCCTCTCCCGCATGCACATCACAGGTGGTCCTGTGTTGACTTTCAGTCCATCGAGTTTGCAGCTGTGGGCCTGAGAGACAATGTTGCCCTTCTCACCGTGCTCAAGGTACCCTGGATGCATTCATTGACTATTAAGAAGCTCTGTGTTTCGTGTCTCCCGTCCTCTGCATCCTCGCCCCACATTTGCACTGAATGTGGTCCTGTGTTGACTCTGAATTAATCAAATTTTGCAGCTATGGGCCTGGCCTGAGAGACAATGCCGCCCTGCTCACTATTCTAATTTTGAAGGTACCATGAGTCACCTTGTTGGTTAGGAATGAATTTGTTGACTCCGGTTTACTTGGTCCATCGAAAGCTGTCAAGTTGTTTCTCTGTTTCCTTGGCCCAAAACCCGCCTCTTCCTCCCCGTATGACCTCACTGTGGCCCAAAACCCGCCGCTTCATTTAACCAGTTTATTGGAGAAAACAAGGAAGGGGAAGGAGTCGAGGAACTGGAAGAAGGAGAAGAGAGGGATGAAGAGAATAGCAGGTGACTTTTTGCACCTTTGCACCTTGTAGCAAGACTTGTCCCTTTTGAGAATTCTTGAAAACAAGAGGGGGGGAAGGAGTGGAGGAACTGGAAGGAGGAGAAGAGGCAGAAGAAGAGAACAGCAGGCAGAAAGTAAAGTCAGTCAGTTTAGCTCTGCCCCTCGCCTAGTTGACAGAGTGGACAGTGGAGGATGAACAATACCTGAGAAGTGGTTTGGTGGAATCATGCAGTGCTGGAGTGTTGGTGAATGGATGTCTCAGCACAGGTCAGTGACTCTGGCTGAGTTCATCACGAAATGGTCACAAGCTGATGAGGCATATCTAAAGGGTCACTGACCCGTGCTGAGCCACCCGTTCACCAACATTCCAACCACTGCATAATTGCACCAAACCGCGTCTCAGATATTGTTCATCCTCCGCTGTTCACCCCAACTTTCGCGTCCTCTTCAACCCCTAGCATGGTGAGATCAAGCTGGCTCAGCTGTCCCAGTGCTACCCGCTCTATCTGCTTTATCCTTCTCCACCATTCCTCCCCCCCCCCCCCCCTCACCCACCTCCAACTCCCCATCCCCCAGTTGTCTCGTCCTTGCCAGCATTCACGTGCTCTTCAACCCCAAGCGAGGAGACATTACACCTCTCATGTGACCCTCATCAACCCCATCCACCCTGCACCACCTTCCCCCTTTACCCATTCCAACTCCCCAATCACAGCTGTCTCGTCCTCGCCAATATTCACGTGCTCTTCAACCCGAAGCGAGGAGACATCAAGCTGGCCCAGATGTCCCGGCTCCTGTCTGCCGCCCATCAGCTGTCCGAGAAGCACGGGAGCTGCCCGGTCGTGGTGTGCGGGGATTTCAACGCCACCCCTGCAGTGAGTATGTATGGTAGAAGCCAGCGCAAGTCAATGGGAGTCAGTACAAGTCAATGGAAGTCCAGAAGTGCCACGGATGTCCCGGCTCCTGTCTGCCGCCCATCAGCTGTCCGAGAAGCATGGCAGCTGCCCGGTTGTGGTGTGCGGGGATTTCAACGCCACCCCTGCGGTGAGTATGTATGGTAGAAGCCAGCGCCAGTCAATGGGAGTCAGTACAAGTCAATGGAAGTCCAGAAGTGCCACGGATGTCCCGGCTCCTGTCTGCCGCCCATTAGCTATCCAAGAAGCATGGAAGCTGCCCGGTTGTGGTGTGCGGGGATTTCAACGCCACTCCTGCTGTAAGATCAATCGAGGTCACTACAAGTTACTACAAGTCAATGCAAGTCAACGCAAGTCAGCACTAGAGTCCAGAAGAAGGTTCATCCAATCACTAATCTCGTTCATGCTCTTTAGTTTCCCATTTGTGCTCGTCTTGTCCAAGCCATCGTGCGGAGCTGCAATCTAACTCCGTTTACTGTCTTGTTTCTTCCTTCCTCTTATTTCTTCCTCTTGTTTCTTCTCCGCGTGTGCTGTACTGTCTGGATTTGTGCTCGGCTTGTCCAATCCAAGCCATCGTGCGCAGCTGCAATGAACTCTGTTCTCCCTCTTATTTTTCTCTCTGGGTGCGCTGCACTGTCTGTGTGTGTTTCTTGCCGCTACAGAGTGCACTCTATGACTTCATCGCTTCATCGCAGGTAGGCTTATCAAATGCTGACTATCAAATTCTGGTGAAGAGCCGTGTTTTAAGTCGACTCAAAACTGTGCACTATTGAAATCACTTTTGAGAATTCTCAAAAGTGATTTCAATATAGCTGGTGAAGAGCCGTGTTTTGAGTCGACTCAAAATTGTGCACTCTATGACTTTATCGCTTCTTCACAAGTAGGCTTATCAGATGCTGACTATTAGATTCTGGTGAAGTGGCGGATGTGTTATTGTGCTATAGTTCCCTTTCTTTTTCTGCTGTTGTTTCCAGTTCCTTCTTTGAACAAACCCGCTTTTATCTATGCCATGGTGACTCATTAAACTCTAAATTATGTTAGGGTGATCTACCCTGCAGTTTCTCTTTGCCTCTGTTGAATTTCTCCATCTCTCCACCTCCGTCCTTCACCCATCCATCCTGCCTTGCAGTTGAATCTGGCTCTCACCGATTGGGGGGGGGCAGTCACAAATCCTCTTTAACATCGACTCAAAAGCCACCGTTCAGTTCCTCCACCTTTGCTCCTGCACCTGTCCTGTCTTGCAGCTTGATCTTGCTCTCACTGATCGGCGAAGGGTATCAGGGCAGCTGGAGGGAGGGGAGGGGCAGCAGCAAGTTCGGTTCCAATCGGCTTCCCACTTGAATCAGCACTGGTCGACAGAGCAATCCGGTGCTTCTGAGACCACCACCAGTGCCACCACCGCCACCACCACCAGTACCACCACCGCCACCACCACCGCTGCTACCACCATCAGCAGCATCACAGCAGAGGGATCGGCCAATGGCGGGTTGACATCTGGCAGTTTTGTTTCCATCTCAGAGGCGAAACGGCAGAGAGTGGCTGTCAATGAGAACGGGCAGGAGGGGATGGGGGCATTGGGCAACGATGGCAGTGGGTGGGGGGGCAGCACTTTTGCTCTGGCGAGCGGAGGATTAGGATGGGGAGGGATGGGAGGGATGGGAGGAGTGGGAGGGATGGGACGGATGGGAAGAATGGGGGGATGGTCCTTTGAGGAGCTAAGGATTGCAACAGGGAGTGATGGAGTGGACACTGTTGTGAAACACCCTCTGAAACTCAAGAGCGCGTATTCACAAGCACCGGTAAGATCAGTTTTTCCTCGGGCCCTTTCATTCACACAGCAACATACACTTTTCTTCCGTGAGCTTCTGTTCAGGGGTTTGTTGTTCACACATGCACTTTCCCCTCCTGCACTTTCGTTGTTTGGGACTAAGTTGGAATATACGCGTTTAGCGTTTTGTACGCTTGCTGTATAAACGCTAGAGTATATACGCAAACCGCAGTCCCTGAGGGGTCTGGTACGCACAAGAATCCGCTTGCCCGGGCACGAAAAAAGTTTTCCCCGGGCAGATTTTTGGGGTAAGAGGTGGGGATGGGGGGGTGTTGTAACCCCCATCCCCTTTGTATTAATATGAAAGTTACAGGAAAAAAAAACCCTTAAAACTAATCTGCCGCTACAACTTCACCCACCTTAATCATGCTACTACCCCCCCATCCCCTACTCTACTCAGGTCCACCCTCCATCCCCCGCCTGCTGCTCATGCATGGAGTCTTCCATCCACTAGTACTCATCTGCCATCACATCATCCTCCCCCTCCTCAGGTTCCTCCACCTCCTCCGGGACGTTATAGCCAGCCGGAGTGGGGGGGTCCTAGATGTTTCCCTTCACCACCCCCAGCCCTTCAGGGGCCTTGTGCCAGTTGTGCACCACCTGCCAATTGTGCGTCACATACACCAGGTCACGAAGCTTCACCGCGCCGAGGCGGTTCCTCCTTGCCGTATGCACTGCATCAAACCTCGCCCAGTTACGCTCACATGGAGACGCGGACACCGGCTGCGTGATGGCGCGGCAAGCTATGGTGGTGAGCTCAGGATGATCGGTCCCGTGCCATATCCACCAGTCCACCGCCGTCATCTTGCCCTCCTTCACTACCTGGCGGTCGGCAATAGCGTCGGGCATGCCGAAGCTGCCTTGGAGGTTCAGGAAGGCATTGAGGCCTTCCTGGATGACGAGAGAGGCGCGGCGCTCGACCCCGTCCTTCCTGGTGACCGTCTTGTCACCATGGTGCTTGGAGACGTACTGCTTGAAGACCCTCGTGCACTCCAGGTCGGTGCGGAAAATGCACTCTTCCTGGTTGGTGGGGTAGAGGATGCGGCCAATCACGTGCAGGTTGCACGCCAGCCCGTTGTCCCAGCGGTCCTGCACGATCTCCCGAATATCCCCCACCTCGTCGCTTGTCAGGACCCCTTCCGCATGCTCGTCGAGGAAGTCGCGGATGTCCTCGGTGAGCTGGAGCATGAGGTCGTAGAGACGACCATCATGCCCTTCGAATCCGAGTCAGTCTTGCGCATGACGACGAATGGCAGCCTCATCAGCTTAGCGAAGAACTCGGCGCGCGTCCACCACGCGGCATCGAGGATGTTGTCTTTGAATGTGTCTGCCCCAGCCCTGTCTGCAGCCGCAGTCCACTCGACCCACTCATCGCTGACGACCATCTGCGTCCGGCCGCACTTCACAGAGGCGGTTGATGGCGATGTAGTTGGTGCCGAATCGGGTTCCCGCGGGCTTGAGAACCTGTTTCCCCTTGCCGCCGTTCACGAGCGGACTCCGCATGTATCCCCGGGTGAAGTGATGGTTGCGGACGAACGAGATGAGGGTGTCTCCACGCGTGATGATGTCCTTCGCCCATCCCTTTTTCCCAATGTCCTCCATCAGGAGATCGAGGACATGGGTCGCGCAAGGGATGTGTTCAATGTGGGGATACTCGCGCATCAACACCCTGCATGCCGCCGCGTAGTTGGAGCCGCCGTCAAAACACAAGGCGACGACATTCTCGGGGCCGACCTTTTCGATGATGGGCCGCAAGATGCCCGCGATGTAGCCCCCGGTCTTCATCTCCATGTTCGTGTCGATCGACTCCACAAACACCGCACCGCTATCGTTGATGAGGAGCACGTTGGCTTGCGGGCGGCCGGCCTTGTCAGAGAACATGTCGCTTGCCACGGTGACACCGTCACGGCGCCAGCTTGCTGAGATAGGAGCGAGCGCCGCCTCAATGCGCTGGCGACACTTTGCAAGACCGGCGCCACCGATGTAGCGTCTCTTCGGCGCGATGTAATTCGGCCCCGCGCGCTGGATGCTGGAGACCACATTCCGCCACAGTGGGTGGTCCGCGTGATGCTCCGGCACATGAAGAGCGGCAAAGAAGAGGCTTATGGCCTCGTCCGCAGCTTGGTTCGCGCACGCGGCGTCGTCGGCGTAGAAGTCGGTCATCCGACTCTTCTTCTAGTCCGAACCTCTGCCGTTGACTGCGCCGACCGCCGCAATTTCAGCCGCACGCTTCGCTTCACGGGCCTTCAACTTGGACTCGTAAAGCGCCTTCACGGCGTCACGTGCAGTCTTCGGCGCTGCAGTGCAGAGATGCACTTCGCGACGGCGCATGCCGTTCCAGCTGGTGATATGCTGCGCGCGACGGTGAACCCCGCCAACAAACGTGAAGTTGCAGTAGGCACACACCTTGGTGCCGTTCTCGCCAACGCTATTGGCCGGCACCTTGAAGTGACGGTAGACTGCGTGCTTGCTGTCCATGCAGACCAAAGACGTACTAGAAGAGGTCCCACCAGCGGAACTACCAGGAGACTCTGAGGGTGGCGTACGAGAAGTGGTTGCTGTAGGAGTGGAAGCCATGGTGGCTTGGGAAAGGAGATAGCTAGAATAGGAAGCGAGAGAATGAATGTCGAGGGAACAAACGCCTCTCTTTATGCCTGGGAGATTGGGTTGGGTTGAGCTCCCAACCAGTAAAGTAGCACTTGGAGGGGATGGTGGAATGCTGTGGTTCAAAGGGGTGTGAAACGTTTGAGGGGAGGGGTTGATGAGGTTTGGTGCTCGAAATTAGTTCATTTCGCGACATCTGCGACTCGGAATTGAGATCGCCACGTCGCGAGCTTCAGATTGAAATTTTGTTTTTTTTTTTCGGTCTGCCAGAAATTCAACTCGGCGAATTTTCAAACTATACGCAACGTACGAATTCGACAAGCGTATAAACGCAAAACGCAAAATGAAAGTAGCGTATATTCCAACTTAGGTTTGGGATTGTAAGTGTATGTTGACATTACTCAAATACTGCCTACAAAACACGTGACTCATTTCTGCACTTAGGATAAGCACATGCACATGCCCTGTTGTTCTGCATGCCGACAATATCACTCTAAATGCTTGTGCCATTATTCCGTTTACTGACACCATTTTTCTGATTGCTTCTGTCATCGTTCTGTTTGCTGACGTCATCGTTCTGCTTGCTGACGTCACCTTTCTGCTTGCTTCCCTCATCGTTGCATTCTGGCAGACCGAGAATCGTCATGCATGCCCCAAGGGAGAACCTCTGCTGACGTCATTCCATGCAAACTTCTGCGGAACTGTGGACTACATCTGGTGAGCTCGTTCCCCCACCTCCTTCGCTAAGTCTCTCCTCCAATCTCACCCCCACCCTCACCCTCCTCACCCTCTTCCTCTCACCCTCACCCTCACCCTCACCCTCACCGTCACCCTGACAAGGAATACCCATCCCTTTCACTCCTCGCAATCCCTCCCATACTAAACATCCCCCACTTTTCCTTGAGGTGAAGGGAGTGTTGGATGTGCTCCTTGCGTTCCACCCACACCCCACCTTAAGACCAATCAACCACAATTCCTTGCACCCCTCTTCACCCCTACTGGGCCCTCTTCACCCCTCTTCGCCCCTCTTCGCCCCTCTTCGCCCCTCTTCACCCCTCCACCCCTCGTCACCCCTCATAACCCTCTTCACCCCTGCTCCCGCTCTCACCAGGCACACCCATGAGTTGGAGGTGCAGAGAGTGCTAGACGTGCTCCCAGTGTCCCACTTTGCTCACAACGGCGCCATGCCCACTCGCCGCTGGCCCAGCGACCACTTCTCCTTAATTGCAGAGTTCACCCTCCAATGCCGGCCTCAGCAACAGTGACACGCTTCAAGCCTAGATGTGCTTCAAGCCTAGATGTGCTTCAAGCCTAGATGTGCTTCAAGCCTAGATGTGCTTCCTGCCAGTGCCCAACTTCCCCCACAACGGCGCCACGCCCACTCGCCGCTGGCCCAGCGACCACTTCTCCCTGCTCGCAGAGTTCACCCTCCGATGTCAGCCGAAAGAGCAGTAACGCGCGTCAAAGCTGCACGCGCTTCAAGCATACATGTGCTGCCAATACCCCACTTCCTCCACAATGGTGCCATGCCCACTTGCCGCTGGCCCAGCTACCACTGAGCGCCAGTGTTTGTTGATGTGCATATGGGATTTTGCCAATAAACTCACTGCATGTGCATGAGATTTGTTACACTGGTCGTGTGTACATAGCTTCTTGTCTTGTTGCCTAGAAAATGAGTTTAATTTGCAGCAATTTTTTTATTGTACCTTTCTACGTTACCTCATAAACATTGCTTTGTAAAATGCTGCCACTATAGTATAAATTTTCATGCAAAGCATGTTGGGCTGGGCAAAAAACTCCATTTACATCACACAGAGTGAATACCACACTTGGTAATGGGAGTCAAAAACCAGCCCAGTGAGAACGATACGATACTGCACGCAGCATCACTCTGAAGCATCCCCTCTTTCTCCTGCTCCGCCTACTCTTTCTCTCCACCTCAGCAGCTTCAAGCACTCACCCGTGTGACTAAAGGCATATTCACCACATGCCCATGCTCATCCTCCCACCTCACCAAACCAAACCCAAACCTCTCCCAAGCCTCCGCTGCCTCCCCATTTGGTTGCAGCCGTACCACAAACCGCTTTGACTGCCCCGGACCGATTGTAAACTGGTCCGGGATAACCTGAACGTCCACACCAACAGGAGATGTAACCGTGGCTTGGTATGCTGACGTGGCATTGTGCGCGTTGGTGACTGTTCTCGGGATGTCGGTTGTTCCCTGGAGCCGAGAAACAGAGATGGATGGACGGTTGAGATGCGTCGCTGGGATGGTACGGATGGTGGTGGATGTCTTTTTGGGGGAACCGTTTTGTGCCCATCTCCACCACTGCCACTGCCACCACCTTTGCTTCTTTGCTGCTGAAGCCTGTTTGACCTTTCTACTACCACTGCTGTTGCTGTTGCTGCTGCTGCCGCCGCCACTACCACTGATGAAGCTGCTGTTGCTGCTGCTGCTGCTGCTGCTGCTATTGCTGTTGTCGTTGTCGCTGCTGCTGGCAATGTTGGCACCACTGGTGCTGGTGCCACCACTTCGGCTGCTACGGCTGTGACCCCTTTTTTTCCCACCCTTCTTCTTCCCAACATTCAGCACACGTGCCGTTTCTGCCATGCTCCTACCAGCCAGAAAGCTCACATAATCACCATACCCCGCATTGAACGTCAACCCAGGATCCAACACCCTAGCAGCATCTACACGCCCAGCTCCCATATCCCACCAGGTCGCATCGTTCCCATTCGGCTTCTTAATCCGCCCCCCTTGGTTGTTTTCTCCACTCGCTGTAGTCATTATTGCTGACATTATTTGCGCCGGTGTCCAGTCCGGTTTCTTTTGGATTATAAGCGCCGCGATTCCCGCGAGCTGAGGTGTAGACATGGATGTTCCCGAGAGCAGCCCGAACGAGGGTGGGCCCGAGGCTGCTCCTCCCGAGCCTGCGCTGGAGCCTCGGTAGGCCGCCCAGAGCTGGTAACCCGGGCCTACGATGTCAGGTTTGAGGATGTCGTTGGTTGGGAGGTAGGGAGGGAGGGAGGAGGAGGGGGTGGTGGGGTTGACTGGGGGACCTGTGGAGGAGAAAGAGGCAATGGCTGGAGCTGGGGAGGTGGAGGAGGTGTAGGGCTGGGATAGTGATGCCTGGTGGCTGGGGTTGTGGCGGGGAAGGAAAAAAAAAGAAAGAAAAACGAAGGGGTGAATGGAAACAAATAGTGGGAGGGAGGTTGGCGGATGTGGTGGGGTTGACTGGGGGGTTGGTGGAGGAGAAAGAGGAGAGAGCAGGGGCTGGGGAGGAGGACAAGGTGTAGGGCTGGTGCGTGTAGGGCAGGCAGAGGAGAAGAAAGGGGAGTTTTGAGGCACCGCAAAAAGGGCAGGCGGAGGAAGGTAGGAGAGGGGACAACATACCTGGTGGAGCTGGATAGGAAGGTCCTGAGAACAGAGGCATCAGAGGAATTGAGATAGACGAGCGGCATGCACCAGAGCTGCTGGGCGAAGGGTGGAGGCGTCCAGTAGCACGTCAGGAGGAGAGAGTGCAGAGGAGGAGAGAGGAGAGGGAGGGCAGAGGAGAGATAACCGACGGGAATGTGCCGTACCTGGTGATGCTTCCCAGGAAGGTCCTGAGAGCAGAAGCGTCAGAAGCCTTGAGGTAAATCACAGGCATGCGCGTGTAGGGCAGGCGCGTGTAGGTAGGGCAGGAGGAGGGGAAGAGAGGGGACAACATACCTGGTGGTAGTGGCGAGGAAGGTCCTGAGAGCAGTGGCGTCAGAAGCCTTGAGGTAAATCACAGGCATGCGCGTGTAGGGCAGGCGGGGGGTTGAGTCGGTAGCCCCGAGCAGCACGAGGGCAGCTGGTCGAAGGGTGGACGCGTCCAGGAGCACGTCAGTGAGAGGGCGAGTGGAGTGAGAGCAGAGGAGGAGGGTGTTGAGAGTGCGGGAGGCGTTGATGCTGGGAGCATGGCACTGGCTGGCCTGTTATGGAAGGGAAGAGGGGGGGGGGAGGTGTGAGTGAGTACAGGGGTGTGTCATTACATTAGCTCCCAGAAGCAGCACCAGAGCGGCTGGGCAAAGTTTCGAGGCAACCAGGAGCACGTCGGTGAGCGGGCGAGAGGAGAGCGGGCATAGAAGGAGCGTGTTGAGGGTGAGAGATGCCACTCAGACTCCACACCCAAGTCCATACCCAGCACTCACCAGCGATTGACTGGCACCATTGGCAGCAGCATCCCTGGCATCTAGAACCGGCAGGTCTACTGTGAGGGGAGTGCCTCCAAAGCTCCACCCTGATAAAACCAGTACTTCCCTCCCGGCCTCCTCCGATGCTGCCGGTGCTGCAGCTGAAGGGTTTTCGCTTGAAGAATTCTCAGTCAGAAAACTCTCTGCCCAAGAAATCTCGGCCAATGAGCTGGCAGAGTCAGCAGCAGAGGTAGCAGCAGCAGAAGCAGTAGAGGTGGAGGCAGGGGCAGCACCAGCGGCAGGAGCAGAAGCAGGAGCAGGGGCAGCAGCAGGGGCAGGAGCAGAGGCAGGGGCAGGCGCGGCAGAAGAGGCGGCAGCGGTTGTAGCAGTGGCAGAAGTTGTGGCAGGAGTGGCTGTAGCGGTGGTGGTGGTGGTGGTGGCGGGAAGAGCGGTGAGAGTGAGGTTTGCCATGAAGTCTCGACCCATGGTGCTGCCACAAGGGGGGAAAACGAGGGGTGGTGGAAACTTGCCAGGTTGTTCGTGGTTTCTAATAACCATAACAAAAAAACAAAAACAAAAAGGCAATAATGCATAACAGAAAGAGTAGTAAACAGCAGCAACAATGATCAAACCTATGGTATCAAGACTCGCAAGGGTATATGTAGAGTAATCATTAATGGCGCAGGGGGGTTGAGGAAAGCCGGTTCACCTGGCGCCAACGGTGAGATACCACGGCGACACGTTGCTTATGGTGCCCACAGCCTTGGATTGGAGGAGGTGGGAGACGCATTGAAATGAGGGGGTGGGCGAAGTGGGGGACACCTTCACTTTGCAATGTGCCGGTCAAGGTGAGCCGTGGGTGTTGGGGGAAGGTGCCTCACCTGGCGCCAACGGTGAGATACCACGGCGACGCGTTGCTTATGGTGCCCACAGCCTTGGATTGGAGGAGGTGGGAGACGCATTGAAATGAGGGGGTGGGCGAAGTGGGGGCCACCTTCACTTTGCAATGTGCCGGTCAAGGTGAGCCGTGGGTGTTGGGGGAAGGTGCCTCACCTGGCGCCAACGGTGAGATACCACGGCGACGCGTTGCTTATGGTGCCCACCGCCTTGGAGGAGGAAGGTGCACCGGAATTTCCTGCTGCCATCGCCACAAACACCCCGGCCTGAGATACCGAAGGGAAAGAAGGAACAGAGCATTGGAGGGGTGTGTGACAGGGGGGTGTTGAGTCGACTCAACACTAGGAGGAGGAAGGTGCACCGGAGTTTCCTGCTGCCCTCGCCCCAAATACCCGGGCCTGAGGTGCACAAGGGAATGAAGGGGGGCAGGGCAGAGCAGCATCAGAGGGGTGTGTGGCGATTTCTGAGGCGCTTCAAAAAGGTTCGCCGGAGTTTCCTGCTGCTAGCGCCACAAACACCCCGGCCTGAGGTAAGGAAGCGAATGAAGGGGGGCAGGGCAGAGCAGAATCAGAGGGGTGTGTGGCGATTTTTGAGGCGCTTCAAAACGGTGAGCCTGAGTTTCCTTCTGAGTCGACTCAGAAGTGCGCCTGAGTTTCCCGCTG